TGATGTGTCTATATATATATATATATATATAGGGTGAGTAGTGGTAGTGATGGAGTGGTGCAAGTGAGCACAAAGTCAAGTTTTCTGATATGGGATGAATCAACTGAGGAGATGGAAATCAAGGAGGTTGAAACTAGAGGAGGTGGGATTCAGGGTAAAAGTGAGCTAAGTGTGTATACTCGGAGTAATAAGCAAACTGAGGGAACAGAGTCTGCAGTGCCAACAAGTCCCTTGTCCCACTCTTCCCCTACACCATCCACCTTTGATTCAAAACTCCCAAGTGATATTGTTCATCCTTCGTCTACTCGTAACCCCCCAATGTTAAGAAGGACTTCCCGCAGCAATACCAGACATCATTCTGATGGTTTTGGGTGGAAACGTGACATTGCTAACTTTGTTTCTTAATATAACATCTCACCATTACATGGAGCGTTCATTGCATCATTGGACTCTGACTCTATACCCAAGTGTTTGGCAAGTAGCTAATGAGGATCCCAAGTGAAAAACTACAATGCATGAAGAGGTTGAAGCTCTCAATAAAACTCGAACATGTGAGATTATACCACTACACCAACAGGGAAGAAAGCAATTGAGTGTGAGTGGATTTTCACGGTGAAACAAACTCCATAAGGGAAGGTGGAGAGACATAAGATCCGACTAGTGGCAAAAGAGTACAATTATACATATGTCATTGACTATGATGAAATCTTTGCACCAGTAGCAAAGATGAGCACGGTAAGGACATTGGTTTCTGTAGCAGTCAATAGTGGATGGAGATTACAACAACTTGATGTGAATAATGATTTTCTGCATGGGAAGCTATTGTAGTAGGTATATTGGGAGAAACCACCAGGATTCAGTTTATCTTAGATAGTGGGCAAGGTGTGCAGGCCCAGGAAGTCGTTATATGACTTGAAGCAGTTTCCTCAAGTCTTGCTTGACAAATTTTGAATTACGATGATAGGAATGGAATATCTGCAGATCAATGCATACCATATGGTGTCCTTTCGACGACAAAAAGGTCACACTACCATACTTGTTGTGTATGTAGATGACATAATTGTCACCAATGATGATGAGACGGCGATTGTTCAATTGAAGGGAAGACTGGGGAATCAATTCGACGCAAAGGTCTAGGACAACTCAGATGGTTTCTTGGGATTGAAGTGGCCCATGGATCTGAAGGGATAGTCTTATTCCAAAGAAAGTATTTAATAGATCTCCTCATGGAAACAAATATGCGGGGGTGCAAACCTACAATCTCTCCAACTGATTAGAAGGTCAGATGAATATAGAGGCAGGAGAACCTATGGATCGTGAGAGGTACCATAGACTGTTGGACCGTCTAATCTACTATGTCACACTCGACCTGATATTTCTTTTGTAGTAAATGCGGCGAGCCGCTACATGCATGATCCAAGGAAATATCATATGGATGCAATGTATTAGATCCTGAGATATTTGAAGAGTGCATCAGGAAAGAGATCGATCTTCAGGAAGAATGAGCATGTAGAAATAGAAGGCTTTGGTGATTCTGACTATGCAAGTTGTGCAGATGACTGACAAATTCACGTCCAGATACTGCATGTTTGTAGATGACAACTTGATCTCGTGAAAGAGCAAAAAAAACTGTCAGTTGTAATAAGATAAACAACAGAGGCAAAATACAAGGTCATGACATTAGGAGTTGCTGAGATGATGTGGCTGAAAGCCTTGTTGGTTGAACTCAAAGTGAACTAGAGAACTCAAATGAAGTTGAGGTGCATGTTTGTCGGTGGCAACTTGATCTCAAGAAAGAGCAAAAGACTGTCAGTTGTAGCAAGACAAACAACAGAGGCAAAGTACAGGGCCATGGCATTAGGAGTTTCTGAGATGATGTGGCTGAAAACCTTGTTGGTTGAACTCAAAGGGAACTAGAGAAGTGAACTAGAGAACTCAAATGAAGTTGTGGTGCAACAACAAGTCAACTGTCAACATTACCAACAACCTAATGCAACACGATAGAACTAAACATGTGGAGATTGATAGAATCTTCATCAAGGAGAAGTTGAATAATAGATTGTTGAAACAAAGTCATGTAGCTACTGGAGAGCAGGTGGCTGACTACCTCACTAAAGAACTTAGCCCAATGGAGTTAACTAGATTATGTGACAATATGGACTTAGTGAATATTTTTGACCCACCTCGAGGGGGAGTGTTAAGATTTGTATCTAATTTAAGGTTCTAGTTGTAAATAGAAGAATTATAGAAGTTTATTTGTAAATGTTATGTGGTTCTATATAAGCCAAAATGTTAATGAAATGAACAAGATTATTGCAAAATCATTTTCAATAGATCACAACAAAAAGACTACAATTACTAACTTTTTGAAAGTGAAATACACCTTTTTCATCCATAGATTTTGTTGTCATTATGAGACTAAGGTGTTATATATGTAAATATCAAATTTTAGAAGTTATGTAAATACATAAGAACTGTGTGGTATGTATGTAAATTTTCAACAATTTAAATTTTAAGCACTAGTTTTGCAATTCCTCCCTGACACATTATCTTTAGATATTCTGATTCAATTTATTTTTGGGGCATTTACATAAGTGCCATCCAATTCCTACGCATTTCCATATCTAACACCTAAACTACGCTTTTCAAATTTCTACCACTCATATCCTTCATATCACATAAAAATACCACTATTTTAACTTTAAAAAAATGAAATATACCTTTCCATTAATATGTAAGTGTTACATCGATGCTTAGCCTAAGGGCAATTTTATTTTTTGTATGCCTAAAGGCAATTTAATCTTTTATTATTGTTATTGTTGGGTATAAAGAAACTAATTATGTTTCAAGTTAGGGGTATGCATGAGCTTGTTATTGTGAGTCTTACATTCAGAGTTTGAGAGAAATTTCTTATCTTTCGAATTATAGGAATTGTGAGAGATCGCCTACCATTTGAATTGTAGTTGTTTACCTTTGTATTTGAATTGGGTTCTTCATATTATTAAAAAAAATATTTATTTTTTACTAATTTCTGTGGAACTTCGTGCCGATTTTGACGTCGGATCGTATCAATAAGGTGGCTTAAATGTAAAAAAACTAAATTTATGTGCTAGAATTGTAAATAGGAATTGAGTGGTGTATGCACGTAAATCTCCCTTCATTTTTTTTGCAAAAAGCAAGACAAATAGGAGCTTGCTTGATCACTTCCACCAATTTCCGGTAGCTCAACTTCACTGTCTTTGTTAGAAGGCAGAACCCAAACATCAAAGGTAGCGTCAATCTGCAAACATCAAATTATTTTTTAACAAAACATCATCCATCAGTTCAAATATTTGAAGGCATTTATATACATACCACCCAACTCCTATGTATTTACATATCAAGCACCAAAACTTTACCTTTTTACATTTATAACACCCAAACCTTTCATAACACCTCAAAAATACCATCATTCTAATTTTTTAAAAGTGAAATACACCATTTCATGCAGAGGTAAGGTCGCTATGCATGTCAAAATTCAAGTTTAGTTGTTAGATGTGCAAATAGATAAGAATTCAGTGGTATGTATATAATAATAATAATAATAATAATAAATAAAAAAGACCATCATTCTTCACTTCAAAAAACAAGAAATTTCAGTACAATACCATGAACTTGAAGTCCAATTTTGAATCATAGAAATAACTTGTTTATAATGCAGGTTGAGAGTGAGGAGGTGGTTTTATAAAGAAAAACAAACTAAGAGATTATGGGAAATTTACATATATTACAAACAATTTTTATGTATTTACATATGTAATACCAAAAGTTCAACATTTAGACTCAAATCTTTAAAATCACATCAAAAATATCATCAACACTAATTTTTTAAAAGTGAAACTTTTTTTTTTCTTGTTTTTTTGCACAAATTATGTCACCAGAGTGTTATACATGTAAATTTGTTTCTCAAATCTTTAAAATCACATCAAAAATATCATCAAAACTAGTTTTTTAAAAGTGAAATTTTTGCACAAATTATGCACCAGAGCGTTATGAATGTAAAAAATAAAAGTTCAGATGTCAGATGTAAATACAAAAGAATTGTGTGGTATGTATGTGAATATCCTGATTAGGGGAATTTACATACATGCCACCTAATTGCTATTCTTTACATATCTTGCCTCTTTACATTAATACCGCAAAAAATTTTTATAACAAATACAAAAAAACCACCATTTTAACTTTGAAGAAGTGAAATACATCTTGTCCTGCAGAGGTAAGGAGGCATAGTTGTAAAATTTAAAGTTCAGGTGTTAGATATGTAAATACATAGGAATTGAGACGTAATAATGTGGCATGTATGTAAAGCTCCCATCTAAATTACACTTCAGAAGCATTTTGAATCAAAAAAATACATTTTTTTAGCTTTTCTGAGCAGTACTTACCTCTCTGTCGTATGATGAGAAGCAACAGCTGCATTTTCTCTTGATAGATGTAATGATCCTTCCATGCACTGAGAATCCAAAACCAGTGTGCTGACAAAATCACATAATTTCCTGAGTTGTTTTTTGCAATAATAACAGGAGGAATTCATATATATTTTAGGCATTATGTAGAGCTGAAATTCACCATATCATGGAACAAAATATGACTGATTCCATCAAATATTTCTCGATTTACGGTTTAGGGTTTCAGAACACGCCAATTTGTTTACAAAAACAGAAAATAAAATGTCCATGTAGGGTTTAGGGCAACCTTTTGAATGGAAAGGCTCACGAGGATGTCGGCATTCTTATCTCCATCCTCAGCCAACTCGGCGAGCTGAAGCTCTCTCAGAGAGAGAAGATACTCGCTGCTCCATCGGCCTTGCCATCTCCCGCAGGAAGTCGAGATAGTGATCAAATGCCTTGCCGATCTTCCGGATTTGTTGGTTTTCCGCTTCGAATGCTGCGCATTTGAAAACAACCCTAGTTCAATCAAAGGAAGAAGAAGAAGAGGGAAAAGAAAAGGAAGTGGGCGAGTTACAGGAAGTTTATTTGAGGAAGAAGCTCTGGTTCTGAAGCGTGGGGAAGGAGAAACTGAGACTGAAGGCTTCTTCTGGGTTTTTTGTGCTGTTGTTTTAGGGCTTTGTAGAAGATAGAGAGGATGACTTAGATGCTCTGAGATGAAGAGGTGGTGAAGTGCTGCCATGAGCTCTTTTCGATAAGAGAGGCAGAATCCTTTGTCCAGACTTATCTTAAAGAAGAAGATTAAGTGACGGGAACTAGTCCAAATTATAAATCACTTTTTCACAGGCCGAAAAATGTTAGAAAGTCTCTCCAGCTACAATGTTAATGTGATGTTAACGTGCGGATAAATTTATTATCAAGAATAGACGACTACTGATAATGATCGGTAGTCGTCGGTAGGTGATGGTTATACTGATAATGTTCGGTAGCCGCCGGTAGGTGATGGTTATCCGTGGTCGGTGGTAATTAACGAGTCATATTCGACTCGATTCGAACTTATCTTTTTGAATCATGCTCGTGTTCTTATTCTTTAGCTCGACTTAAATTTTATTTTTTCTTACTTCAAACATTTTCAATTCTTTTATATTATTATAATTATTTCGAGAGTAATTATGGGTATTAGTTCATTTGAGGCCAAATTATAAATCACTTTTTCACAGGCCGAAAAATATTAAAAAGTCTCTCGAGCTATAATGTTAATGTGATGTTAACGTGCGGATAAATTTATTATCAAGAACAGACCACTACTGATAATTATTGATGGCTGCCGGTAGGTGATGGTTGGCCGTGATCGGTGATAATTGATGAGTCATCTTCGACTCGATTCAAACTTATCTTTTTGAATCATGCTCGTGTTCTCGTAATTCAGCTCGAATTAAATTTTATTTTTTCTTAGTTTAAAAATTTTCAGTTCTTATATATATATAATTATTTCGAGACTAAATAAGTAGAACACAAGTGAATAAATTTTTGTTCGTATTCGGCTCGCTTGTTTATTTATTTTATCACCAGTCCATCAAACTTAATAGCTTTCTCAACTCAACTCTGAGACAAGGATTTGGATATGCAATCACTAACTCAGTAGATCATTTCAGCTTGGTTGAGACCTATGATTTTTTTTCCCCTTCTGATTTAGCTCGTAAAATAATAATTTGTACATGTCATCAAAGAAATTATGACACATCATTACGCCGATATCAATTTTTTTAAAAAATTTAAATAGAATTTTTAGTTTTAAATTTATATTTTCTCTTTGTTTTAGAATTTACCCGCTTAAATTTCTCCGATTTATGTATTTAACCTCTAAATTTCATTATCTACTTATGTAAAATCTAAAATTTTAAAGGGGCATTTACATAGATATCATATAATTCTTATGTATTTTTATTATAACACAAACTGTCATATTTTATTTATACGTATGTCCATCTTTTTTGAAAAAATATTACATCAGGACTCCGCATGTATAGTTACATTTAGAGTCCAATAAAATTACGTCATTGAGGTGATCGGCCCGGCAACACAAGAGAATATTCCCCTCGTGTTATTCTGTGTTATTCAAATGTTATTATATGTTATTCAGGTATTATTGTATTTTGAGAATATTCTCAGTATTATAATAACACAATAACACATCAATAACACTTGAATAACACACAATAACAATTAAATAACACGAAATAACATGAGAGGAATATTCCCTTGTGTTACCGAACATAATTTTTTTTTTTTCTACGTGACGTGATTTCATTCGCTCAGCACGTAACTCTACGTGCCGAGTCCTGATTTAATATTTTTTTCATCTTTTCTTGCTTAAGAATATAATGCTAATATATTAAAAATGTAAAATATATAAAAATTGTTTGTTATGTAGGTAAATTACCCAATTTTAAATATCTTCCTTTCCACCATTCCATCACTGCCAATTTCTTGTCAAACGTTATCTCGATTAAGTGTTATATTTTGTAAATAATAGTTTATATGCTAAAACACCTTTAAGCACTATAACCTTTTTACGTAAATTTACATAAAGCACCCCACCTATGGATGAAAATGTAAATTCACTATTGAAAAATGGTGAAAAAAGAAAAGTTGGGTACTTGATTTGTAAAAAA